AGTGTCTATGTGTTGAGCCATTTATTCAGTTCCTTCTCGTTTAGAGCTTTGATTCCGTCGTACCAAACACGACCTTGCAGGATGTTAGAATGTCCAATCCAAAAGTTTAAACTAATAGGTGGGAGGAGACCACATGTATATAAAGAGTATACATGGAGGATTAGGAACAACACGTGGAATTTGACGAACGAATCTGACGCACACTTAAAATTAACTGGGAAACCTGGCTCTGATACCATATTAAAATATCTAACCCAAAATCTTAAGTTAATAGGTGGATGGAGACCGTGACTGCTTTACGAATTTAAGTTGTTAGATGAATGTGTGATTTATGATGTGTTTATTTCGCGGAAAATGGTTGATATGGAACATATTTTCTTAAAAACAATTATTTGTATTGTTTGTAAAAATAAATGAACGAAAAATATTTTCATCGTCTACAGAAAATGTTTAGGCACAAATAGTCGTCGATAATGGAAATTTTTTGTTTTTGTTTTAAGTGATCATTTTCAAGAATATATTTCTTAAATTATTAATTTTTAGCAAAATAAATAGAGTCTTAAAATTTAAATATAATAATACAAGGAAAAAAAGAAAGAAAGAAAGAAAGAGGGAAGGACGCAATAACTCGACTTGTAAGGACGGGTCCATTAATTTTTCCCACCAGGCACAATTGACAGGTTGCTGATTCATTATTGCGCGGTGATTAAATGCCACGTTGGACATTACATGTGATATGAGGACCTCTTTTTTTTTTTTTTTTAATCTATGCATTTTCGATTATTAATTTAAATTCAGGTAAGAGTAATAGGTAGTGATAGTTAGTCAAAGAGTCCACCGCCAACTTAGGTCACAGTTGAAAAAGGAAACTTTATTGAATATTTCAAGTGCATAGGCAACTTTTTTTTTGGTTAATATTATCAAAAATCCCAAACTGATACACATGTGACAAATTTACCCAAAACTAATTTTTTGACCACCAAATACCCCAAACTGGTATATGTGTGATAAATTTATCCCAAACTAATTTTTTGACCACCAAAAACCCAAAACTGGTATATGTGTGATAAATTTATCCCAAACTAATTTTTTGACAAATAAAAACCCCAAACTGGTACCCCCATGACAAATTTACCCTCCGTTAAACTGAATTAATACCACGAAAAATCACAAACTGGTACACATGTGACAAACGGAGGGTAAAAATCCAAATCGGTACACTCGTCAACTGTCACGTGTCATTCAACTCAGAAATTTGAATGTAAATGTTAATAGAAAATAACGAAGGGTAAAATTATCACATGCGTACCAATATGAGGTTTTTGGTGGTAAAAAAATTAGTTTTTAGTAAATTTGTCACGGGTGTACCAGTTTGAGGTTTTTCGTGGTATTAACCTTTTTTTTTTTGCATGGACTTAAATTTCCATATAGCGGTTAAGGATGGAGTCTTTGATCCGTTTGTTTCACGGAAAATAAATGATTTAGAATACATTTTTCTAAAAATGATTGCTCGTATCGCTCACAAAAATGAATGAACAAAACATATTTTCATCATTCACGGAAATGTTTACAAACAAATTGTTATTGATGATTAAAAAAATCTTCAATTGAATAATTATTTCAAGTGATATAAATGATCATTTTTAGGAAAATATTTTACAAAGTCGTTCATTTTCCACGAAACAGACGGAGCCTATAGGTAGTTTCTTTTGATAGAAAGAAGTAAGCTACCTGCCCGCAACGCCATAACTTCATTTTAATTCTGTTGAAATTGAACTGCCATGCCTAAATTGATTATTTGATACTCAATTGATACTTGTTTAACATTTGCATAAGCGATCAACTAAAACATCTTCGACGTTTTTCTAGCAAAAAAAAAAAACATCTTCGACGTCAAGTTTATTACAAAAAATCGGGTATTAGGATGATTCTGCTGTTTCGATCCAAAATAACGTCTAATAGACTTCTTAAAAAGTTGGGTAAGTGTCAAAAAGGTGTTGTTAAAAAGGTGCTAATCACTTTATTTCCAAATAACTTGCTGGTAACTTGCTAACATTCCTATGAAATTATTTTATTTTTGACCGTTTACAAATTATCAACTTTTTTTTTATATCTATTATCAATTTTTATTTGCCTTTCTTACCAATGTCTTAAATTTACCGACTCATATATGAAATATAAATAATTGATTGATTACCTTTATCTCATTAATTTACAAACTACTGGATTACCGACTTTTATTTGTCTTTCTTACCAACGTCCTAAATTTACCAACTCATAGATATCGTCATAAGACGGTAACGTCAGTTGGATTGAGCTTGATTCAGTGCTGGTGACATGTGATTAGAAAATTTGTGAAAGTAGAATAAAGACATATTACAAGTATAGAGATTTGATTAGGAAAAATGTGACAACGATGAAAAGTAAAATTTTTCCAAAAAAAAAAGAAAACTCACTCTTGGGAACAGTTTAACTTCCTTAATTAGTAAGATTGGCTCGATTTAGTCGGGCCAAATGCCCTTGCGCCATATGAATCTTACGAAGTCGAGATACAAAATGGGTTTTACAATGTTGCTTTAAGTTTCTACCTAATTGATCTTTCATTTCATGTAATATTAACACTATGAATTTAGTATCCTTGCTCCTTATAGGTTCGAATTTGGCCGGTCGAATTAATTGGCTGAAACTACGTAAATCCGGCGTCGCTTTTGTTCACCGTAACCTTCGCGCCATCAAACTCGTTCCCGCGACGATATTTCTAGATCGAATCTTCAATGCAATCGAATTTAAGTCGGGTTCCACCAAACATTTCTACTTGTACCACTTGAGAGCCCATCGACCCTAGACACCACTGGCCTTGGTTAAACACAGCTCATCCTCTCTCCTTAATTCCCTTCATGGTAGGGAATTGGCACCGGCAAGTCTAATTAAAGCGGGCTCCTTGTCGTGCAAGACAGATTAATGTGCCAAAACTGTTCGGTTCCTTTCGTTGTCCCCGTAGAATCCTAGGACATCGAGGTACTAGAATTGAAAGACAGCAATCCAACTCGAATGTTTTCAGCACTGGCTTCTGGACCACATGCTTATAGTGGTGTATTATCAACGAATGCGGAAGCTAACCGAGATCTTGCAAATCAAATCATTGGGAGAGAGCCAGCGAAATAAACGAGGAACGATAAAGGATATTCAAGATTTACGTGGTTCGGTCCGAGTATCGGCACCTACATCCACGGAAGAGCTAGCGACAAATAATCCACCAATAATTGGAGAATGAAAGTTACAATCGCCCACACGCTCTTGTGTTTCCTGCCCTTAGATCTATCTCAAACCTAAAACGTACACAAATAAACAACTCACTTGAATATAAAAACTTACACAACACATATCTCACAGTGTTCGTGTCGGTGCGGCGGAAGAACAGAGAACCTCGTGCTTTCAGACTCTTCCCTCTTCGAGCGGGCTCCTTTTCTTGAAGAGAACTCACGCCACCCTACTCCAATTCTTGTTCTTCGTGCGGCTGCTTCAGCATCTGGCGGCCAAACTCTTCTCAAGAAACCCTCCTAGGCGACCACTCCTTTTTGCTCCTATATGTGCGGTGACATTTTTAAGAGAAGAGGGCATCCTAAAGGCTGGAGTCAAATGATTAGAAAGCTGTATATTTTACTGTGTTTCCTTTCCTTCTCTTCTTTTGGGCCTCCACATGGGAACCCACGCCCTTTGTTTTGACAATGGACCACCCATATAAGAAAATGTGAGCCCCTTCTTTTGTCTTGTGGTGCCCATCTTTCCTCTCGATCGTCCAACCATTAGCAAAGGTGAGTACAGCTCTTGTCGGATAATAATATAAATACTTTCTTAATTTTGGCTTAAAGTATAATATAATTCATGGACTTTTAACTTGTTAAATGTGATTTCTGAACTTTAACCCAATATGCAATGTGGTCCCTGAATTTTTGGTACAGGTTCAAACTGGTCCCTAGACTATACGAAAATGTTCAATGTAGTTCAAGAACCACATTACACATTAAACAAATTAAAAGTTTAGGGATCACATTGCATATTAAGCCAAAGTTCAAGAACCATTTATGTCGTTTTCCCTTTTATCGTGCCGTCAAACTTGGGTATTTATCTAATCGGATTGGACTCCATAAACGGTTCAAACTCGAGACGCAATTCAACAATCCTCCAACTTTGCTTAACGTTTGAAGCCATGTTATACTACTCATCGTCCATGCTGCCCTCTCGATGCCCCTACGGGCGCTCACACTACAGATGCCAATTGTGCTTAAGCAAAACTTTAGTTTCACGAAAGGAACAAGCATAGTCATCATGTTTGCCGGAGCGATCTTTTCCACAACAACCTTACCCTTCGCTAAAACATTTCGGATAAAGTAGTACTTGATGTCGATATGCTTCGTTTGCTTGTGATAACCGAATTGTGTGCCAGGTATATTACATCTTGGTCATCGCAGTGTATATCAACATTTTTTCTGTTCTAACCCAAAATCCGAGGGCAAACCTTATGACGATACAGTGAGCGATATAATTAGACAGCGATAAGTTGATAGACTACGTACATTACATGCTGGGTCAATTTTCTCGTCCGACAGAAAGTCAACATGTTAAACTTTTCATCTGAACCTCCTCAATTTCTTACGCAGAAGCATAGTTTCTTCATTGCTACGTAGTTGTTCTGCCAACTTAATATGTTTGTATGGAACCCTTTACATTTTTTTTTTCTTTCTGGTTTCAATTTACGGAAATTGGCCTATTACCTGGTGAGCTGCACACGGATCCTGAGCCCGTTTATTTATTGATTGTGGTTACTATTTTCTTCGTTGAGTTCACTTTTTCTAACGCAACCACCACCTCTACATCATCAGAGCGACGGAGCCCAACATTAATTTATCACAACCGCTTTCATGAACCGCATAAATGCACCCCAACCACATCCAGTAAACCACGAACTCTCTCCTTTATAAGAACCCTCTCCCACCCCTCCAGTTTTCAACTACTCCCCACACTGCATACAACATTCTCATTCATCTCATTCAAGTCATCAGCCTCTCAATCATGGCGTGTCAACAGGGCAAGACGAAAGATGAGATGGTGGTGAGCTTGCAGACCATCAAGAAGACCCATGTCAAGCCCAGGAAGAAGCTCGGGAGGAGGGAGTGCCAGTTGGTCACGTTTGATCTTCCGTACCTGGCGTTTTACTACAACCAAAAGCTGATGTTCTACAAGGGGGGCGATTTCGAGGGCATGGTGGCGAAGCTCAAGGATGGATTGGAGCAGGTGCTCGAGGAGTTTTACCAGCTCGCCGGCAAGCTTGGGAAGGATGAGGAAGGGGTGTTCAGGGTGGAGTACGACGATGACCTGGACGGCGTCGAGGTGGTGGAGGCGGCAGCGGAGGCGGTCGCCATGGAGGACCTGGCGGCTGAGGAGGGCACCGGCATTTTCAAGGACTTGATTCCTTGCAATGGCATCTTGAACTTGGAGGGGCTTCACAGGCCTTTGTTGGCCATTCAGGTTCGATCACAAACTTGTCTTTCGACCATTCTTTTGTGGCCTTCTCTTCTTAACCTCAATACGAAGTGCATTATCTGCTGCATCTCAATTCTTTATCCTTTAAATTGTGTACTAAACATAACTCTCTATGCTTATATTAACCCTTAGAAGCTTCAGTCCATAAATGATGTTGACCCAGGTCATAATACTTCTTGTCTTAGCTAAGATTTCGGTGATGACAACTCTTAGACACTCGAATTTATTTCTTTTACTATCAAACGCAACCAAATGATGGGGTTTGGCCCGACAAAAAATAGTAGAGTTCCCGCATATATTAGTCGAGTTTTCACTTGTTCTTGAACTTAGATTGTACCAACAAGCCGAGAAGAGATGGAACGCGATAAAAGATGAACTTGATGTCGATGTAATTGATTGTACATTAGTCGTTGTTTAGGCCAGCCGTAAGAGATTGATACGCATTCGCTCTGTCATGTGATCTTCAGTATTACGAAGCATCTGTCTAAATGGCATTATAAAAAATCGGAAGGGACCTTCTCTCTTCAGGAGAATGTATGTTTTGCTAAGCATGTGGAGAAATTTTTTGTTTTTGAGAAAATCGAGGTGGGTGAATTAAAAAATGTTGACTTCTGTTACCATTTATATTAAGGACTCGCATAATAAAGTTTCTTCCTCTTTTTGATTCGAGAGTTCCAAGAGCCGGATAATATGGTCGCATTGAAGTGGGTCTGTGGCGTGTAATGAATGTTATTGAATGTCGTGCACATGTAGCCAGTTGCCCAATAGAATGAAATTTCCTATTATGTTTCATTTTTGCTCTTTCTCCTCTTTCATCACATTTTATCTGTGTATGTTATGATGAAATCCGAAGGACAGTGGGAGTTGTTGCCTAGCTGTCGATTCTGGCCCTCTGAATGATCTAGACAAGTGCTTGAATAGATGAAGACTCCATGATTTCAACACCGTCGTACCCGAATTCATTTCCCTTTTATTGACTCATATTAGATCAGAACCCTAGATATAGGTATGTTAACATACCCTGATCTTTGTCAAGTAGAAGCTAACACTAAAGAGCAATGAGGCTCTGGTGAAGTCGGACCGATGTCGATTTGAATATAATCTCTAAAAAGGATCGCTCAAAGATACAACGAGCGAACGAAGCAATGCTCTTCGGGCTGTTAATCAATGCGTAGTACCGGCTGTTCAGTACCCTTCTTCGCTAGACAAGACACCAAGTTAAATACACCTAGGAAGCGAGAGGAGAGTGGGATGATTTGGATTGCTTATCTAACTCAAGATCACGTTCGATCCGAGGGATTGGTTGTCGCCATCCATCAGTCTTAAATCGAAGATTCTTGTCAATATACGGAAATACGGCTTAAAGAAGTTGTATATTCTCGTTTCGCTTTGAGAATTATGGGTTGTGTTATCAATATTACCGACAATGAATATCCACTTTCGACCAAAAAAAAAATATCCACTTGTTAGATGTGACTCCCATATTAGTTGCCTGTGATAATAATACGGTCTGTACATTTAATGGCTCGTCTCTGATGCTTACCAACCGCCGTGGCCCCACCGTGGCGAGTCCCATAAATGGTCAACGCCGCTAAATTCGTTGAGTCTCCAGTCGTCAATGGGCTTGTGGACCACCAACTCGTAGGTGCTTTTGGGACACTGATTTATGACGTCATTTGTATGATTCAACTATAGGTTAAAATTATATCGATATAGTATACCGCTCTCCCATCTCACGTAGTACATGATTTCATGCTTATTCACCCTCTGACCGAAGGATCGTGGTGCGTGCAGTTAACCAAGCTGAAGGACGGGCTAGCCATTGGGTGCGCGTTCAACCACGCCGTCCTCGACGGGAACTCCACGTGGCACTTCATGAGCTCGTGGGCCCAGGCCTGCGGCGGCTCGCCCGCCGTCTCGGCCTCGCCCTTCCTCGACCGCACCAAGTCCCGCAACACCCGTGTCAAGCTCGACCTCTCCCTCCCGCCCGATCCCTCCTCCTTGTCGTCCAACGGCGACCATGCCAAGTCCGCCCCGCCGCCCCCCCTGCTCCGCGAGAAGGTCTTCCGCTTCTCTGAATCGTCCATCAACAAGCTCAAGTCAACGATCAACTCCAGCACGCCGTCGGATGGCTCGATGCCCTTCTCCACTTTCCAGGCCTTATCTGTCCACATCTGGCGCCACGTCACCAAGGCGCGCGACTTGAAGCCCGAGGACGTGACTGTCTTCACCGTGTTCGTCGACTGTCGGAAGCGGGTCGACCCTCCCATGCCGGAGACCTACTTCGGGAACCTCATCCAGGCCATCTTCACCGGCACCGCGGCGGGGCTCCTGATGGCGCACCCACCACAGTTCGGGGCGGGGATCATACAGAAGGCCATCCTCGCGCACGATGCCAAGGCCATCGAGGAGCGGAACAAGCAGTGGGAGAGCGAGCCCAAGATATTCCAGTTTAAGGACGCGGGGACGAACTGCGTGGCGGTCGGGAGCTCCCCGAGGTTCAAGGTGTACGAGGTGGACTTCGGGTGGGGGAGGCCCGAGGGGGTGCGGAGCGGGTCGAACAACCGGTTCGACGGGATGGTGTACTTGTACCAGGGGAAGAGTGGCGGGAGGAGCATTGATGTGGAGATCACTCTTGAGGCTGGGGTCATGGAGAAGTTGCAGCTGGACCAGGAGTTCCTTGAGCCTTAAGTCACTTAAATTAAGTGACAACGATTAATACAAAGAAGGAAAACTTCAGTGCTCAAGTAGCTAATTATCAATAAACCATCTTCAGGGGGGATCCAAAATTCATATGATCGGAGGATCAGGTGCACCGGGCACTTGAAAAGTATCAAATGGATTACGCGGGGATTCGATCTACTGCGAATCTCACGATTTTCTCGAGTGCTGGATGTGCTTTGATCTTAGGACATGATGAATCTTTGTTTCGCCCCGCGATTTTAGCTATTTGAGCACCGGAGTTTCTCCTAAACTATGGTGATTTTAAGTGGCAGTTTGGACTTGGGTTTTTAAGATTTGATCCTGAGTGATTTGAATTTTTCTTTGCTTGTTATAGCAACTAGTGGTTCTATGATGCATTATATGTAAGTTAAGTCTTCTTTGCTTAGATATGTTGTCTATATCTTGTCTATAAGTTCGTGTGATGTGTCGTTAAGACTCCGTAAGATTTGAGACTGATATTGATTTCTGAGTGCTGTGAGCTCTATTAATATGGCCTTCAGTAGTAACTTTCTCAGTTACGTTCCTGCAGAGTTAAACCAAAGTCTGAGATGGATAGCTCAAACTTTCTAAGAGTCTTTGCAAAATGAAAATCGGTCGACGCAAGTGGCATTCGGAAGGATCCGAAGGAATAGGCTTGAAGGTTCGATCATCTATGTTGACGACGCCCTTGTCAATCGGACCATGTCTCTCATAGTGACACACTTGGTTATCATCGGTCGTGAAGTATACAATATACGGCGCAAAACCGGGCAAATCCGAAACGACATCAAGTGACTATTCCCAATGAAAACCATCTCATTGTCGAGGCTCTCGATCTCGACCCACCTTGGCTCTCCTCCTTCTCCTTCGCTTGAAGACTTGATCACCCTCGTTAGGTACAAGTACAACCGCTCGGCATGTTCTTGCTTCATCCGAGAATGCCGAATCATTAGCAATTTCCCTTCGCATGATTCCACAATGTAGCATTGCAGGACATATGCCATCAGGCCTATGAATTTAAAACTTGAATGAAATGCCAAATAGAGCTGCACAAGAAAACTTAAGACAGTATATACAACTCCAACATAGGATGGAGACTCGCAAGATATAAAAGCTGCTTCGCCTCTACAATTTGCACCTGTGATAATTGATAACTTTACAATATCAATCCCTCAAGACCTGGGATAGTTCCAAGAACAAAATTCCCAGCTCATATTCCACGTTGAACCTATGAGCACTTCTTGGTATCAACAGACTTGCTACCTAGTGCTCTAAAACAATGAGCGAAAGAAAAACTTCTTTATCGCCGGACTCTAGGTTTCTTTTTGGCTTTCCGCTGTCCTGTCTCAACCTTCGCAAAAAGTGGAGTTTCACACAGCTTCATGTCCCGTTCTCAGTCTTTGAGGGGGAAGGCCCAGAAGTTACAGTTTGTTCTACTGCAGTAACATAATCAAATCCTGTTTAAATTGAGAGATAGACAGACGGAGATAGAGACAGAGACAGATTGAGACTCGGAGACTCACCTATAAACGAATTGCTTATGCATGGGATTTCCAAACGACATTGCTAGAATTCCAGAAAGTTCAGCAGCTCGTGACCGAGCGCGAGTCTGCTTACGCTCCATCTGTTCCTCCTCCCTCTGCAACAACGTACGTCGTCTATTGGGATTGTTGTGCTAGATTAATAAGGAAAAGATAACAGCTTGTTCGATTTTGGACTACTGGTCTATGTGAACTGGTTCTCCAACAGTTTCGGGTCTGATGAGCAAGTGGCATCTAGAATGGCCCAGGAATTCCAACCTTTTCTTATGGATCAGTGGAGGTAGGCAGTTCAACACTGCACCGAATTACTTTAATGTCGATTAATCGAGGTCGGTATAGGCTTGGAACCCATTTCCATCTAGCCTTGTTCGATGGCTTGTTCAATGTTAGACATTGCATGCTGTGCACATTATATTCTTTGGTGATCTTTCGACTAGTAGTATTCATGCTGGGAGCTATCAATTGCAATCTCATGTTTGTAATTTCCGTTACTTGCAAAAATGTGTCTGTTCTGTTGCCCGCTCGATGCAATAGAGCCTTAGAAGCTCAAATGTAGTCTCTTTCAGCTTGGCTAAACACGATTAAACTTCATGCCGATGAAATGGAAGACAAAAGTCATATCTACAATCAAATAATATCAGTTCTTCCATTTCAGGCAGGAGTTTGTGCTTCTAGAAAATGAAAGAGAACAAGGTGTAAGAGAAGTAGAGGAACAGAGAGGACAAGCAAATGAAATATTCAGGGATCTTGCGGCTTTAGCTCGTGAGCAGGGTGTGGTAATTGGTAAGATGCCAAAATAACACGAAGCTATCTGGTTTTCCGTTCTAAATTTCTCCTGGTTCTGACGATTTTTTTTACTTTGGTTTTTATGTGATCACATCTTTCAACACTACAGATGATATTCAATCGAACATTGAGAATTCCGCGGCTGCGACAAAACAAACGAAAGTTCGACTGGTTAAAGCTTCTAAAAGTACGAAATCCAGATCCTCATGGGTAAGTATCGAGCTCGACTATCAGATCATGTTTTTCCTTCATTTACCATTGACGATATCGATAGCCAGATTGATGTAGCTAGCAAAGATCACCTAGAGGGGGGGTGAATAGGTGATCTTAAACAATTTTGAGAATTTATGCGAAGATCTTAATGTATGGCTCAGAAAGGCAAGAGAAAATGATCGGAGCATGCTCAGACTTTGGACTTGATGATTCTTGATTTTGTACATTCTTCTGCTGCTCGTTGATCTCCTTAAATACTCTTCTACTTCCAAACTAGCCGTTGGACGGCATTGAGGAGGATCATCTTCCAATCTTCACCTTGGGCATGATTTGTATAGAAAGGATTGAGTAGCCGTTGGATGTGATCCCAATCCGTTCTCAGTCGCCCATACAATCGAATCTTGGTTTCATAAGTAGAGTTTTATTCGTTGTAATGCATGCTTGTCGTAGTGTTTGATTGTCAATCAATTATAGCCTTAAATTGAAACAATCAAAAAACATCGTTTGAATTGTCTGAAAAAAATTGCCACAAGAAATTGTCAATTGTAGTTTAAGTTAAATTCATTGCGGTTTTCATGTCCTTTGCTTTAAGAAAGGATATGTAATATTAACATTTGAATGCAGTTCTGCCTCCTTTTTCTTCAGAGAAGAACAGTTCGAAAAGAATCAGATTGCAGAGAAATGAAGTAGTAGTTGGGTTAATTTGGTATTATGAATGTTCAGTTGTCCATAGTATCTTCAGAACACCTAGTCCCTCTGGTTACATTATCTGCTCTTGAGTGAAGACTGTCTAGTGTCTAGTTATCCTTGAACAAGTTCTGAAAATTTCCCTGTGCGAGCAAAACTCCATTATATCATGAGGTTACTGTAGTTCCATACGAGGGCGAGGGCAAGGGTGTTCACGGAGACGCATATTCTAATAATGAACTTCTAATTAATCCCAATGTCGATGATTTTGAAGAAATCAGTGGCGATTTTTGGATGCGTGGGCAGATTTGGGACTAGAGTGAAAGTTGAGAATTTTTTTAGACAAAAAAAGTTCGGGCAGATATTGTCGGCATCCACATCAGCGACTTCCAACCAAAATTAGCCAGAATGACTACATTGGCAAATCATCAAAATGTTTATGACTAAATTTGGCCAAATTGAAAGGTTTAAGACTTTTTTCGGTTATTTTTCCCGATCTGTATATATTGAAATAGTACAGAGAAAAAGAAAAGGAGATATCGGTTAGTTGGCCTATGCTACGTAACTTTAGAGAAATTCTACATGTAATAAAAAAAATTTCGCAAAATTCTGAGAAAATAATGAAAATCTTTCAAGAAAATACTTAGGGTGCGCATGACAACCATTCTGTGCCCGGGAACTATTTCTGAACAGAAATGATTTTTTTTTTATTCTGTGCCCGGAAATAATTTTTGTGCATTTAAAGGCGTTTGGTAAACTGTCCAAAATTTCTATTCCTGGAATAGAAAAGAACAGAAATGCGTTTGGTAACCACACACAAATTTCTTTTTATTAATAATATTTTAATATTATTTTGAATTGTTTAATTTTTTTTTCTTTCTACCTAGGCCATGGCGTCGCCGCCGGCGCCACGCCTCCTGAGGCCGGCGAGGGCATCACGGCCCTCGCCGGCCCGGCCGAGGCAAGGGTCCCCCCCTGCCGGCGAGGGCGAGGCTGGACCCTCGCCACTGGGCGAGGCGGCTCGCCGTCGGTCATGGCGAGGTCGGCCTCGCCCAGTCGGCGAGGCCGTCGCGCCCACTGGCGAGGTCGGCCTCGCCCGGCGAGGCCGAGCCTCACTCGCGTCGCGACCCACCTGCGAGGTTGGCTTTGGCAAAGGTCGCGACGGCGAGGCTCCTCGGCCTCGCCAGATCCGGGCGAGGCCGACCCGCCATGCACCGACGGCGAGGGTCCAGCCCTCGCCCTCGCCGGCAGGGGGGACCCTCGCCTCCGCCGGCGGCCAGCGAGGGCTGTGGCTGGTCGCCGGCCCTGGGCTGTGGCTGGTCGTCGGCCGCCGGTCGTCACAACCCAAGAAGAGCAACACAAAAAGAAGAAAAAGAAGAAAAAAAAACTGATTCTCAAAATTGTGCCGAGAAACAAAAAGCAACTTTATTTTATTTCTTGTTTCTCTTCCAAAATTGTTTCTCGGCACAAATATTTGCAAAAATGTGTCCGGGAACAAAAAGTTTACCAAACGCATTTCTGTTCCCAAACTATTTTTGGGAACAAAAGAACAGAAATTTTCACTGTTTGGCACGTTACCAAACGGGACCTTAGCGGGAAAAGTTCGGAGAAAGTTCTAGACGAAGACAAAAAAGGTGGGGCAGCGAGTGTGGGACCCACCAAGGCTGGTATCCATCACATGGCGCTTTCGCATTAACCAAATCCGCAAAATGGATTAAAAAAACGAGAGCCTGTCTCGCTATGTGATTTGATTGGCAGCGCTGCAACTTCGGCTGTGCTTTTCCTTTTAAAAAAGTTCATTTAAGGAAGGGGGTTTAACTTTTTTTATTTATTTATTGTTGAACAAACCGCATAAGAAACCTGCCCTGTTTGAGTGGGTCAACTCAATCCCACTCAAATTTTCATTTTTCCATATTATTGTGTAACCCTTATAAAACTTTACTTGCGATGTATGTTTGCTCTCTTTAGTAAAACTTTGACCCCCACTAAATTTTCGAAAGTACAAACTCGGCTCCATTGAATATGAAATTTTTTTCTTCTTATTAGAATCAACTTTTTTTTTTAATTATTGATTCTGTTTCAAAACTGATTATGGGAATAAATTTGTGCCCCGAAAGAGAAAAATTTACCAGGCGGATTTCTGTTCTTTTTTGGTTCTCGGGAACAAAAGAATAGAATCATGCACTGTTTGGTCGGTTACCAAACATGCCCTTAGTATCACCACCATCCGAAGTGCCACGCGAGGGGGGGGGGGATTTGTCGAGCTTGGGAGACCGCTGGAGTGAGGAAACCATACGCCTAGGAGGAAACATGTCGTGTCTACATTGGTTACGTTTATTAGAATAAGGGAAAGAATAGAAAAAACGAAAAAGAAAAGGAGAAATCAAACCCTAATTTGAATTTTAGGTGGCCCGATCCTAAAAATTGCTTCGAAAACCTGAGGAGATGGTGACCCATGTCGTCTGTATTTCCACCATGTTCTTCGTGTGTACTAGCTAGTTTGTATGTTGCCGACTAAAAAAAGAAAACATTTGCAAGCGGTACCCAAAAACCTCCACACCAATAATATCTTTATAGCCCTTAAGGAGAAAACAAAAGCACAAAAAAGATAATAAAAAAACATTTTCATTTATTAATTATTAATTAATTTGACAAAACGTAAGGAAAGGCATGTGTGATCGTGGATAACTACGCCAGTGTCTAAATTCTTATTTCTATATAAATTTTTCTCTCTATTTTGACACATTCGTCATAATGATAAAAAGTTTGGGATACCGCCGAAGTCTCCCCCATGTCGTGGAATAAGATTCTCATAGCTTGGGAAATTCCAAAAGATAGGCGATGACGTGTCAGGTGGTTATGGCAGAATTGGGTTACTTTGGTTGTAGCTGGGCTTGGGATTCCATTTAACATTTTTATAATCACAACACTATGATAAACCAAATTCCACCATTGACTGTCGCCGCCGTCATCATCAGTCGCCGGTCGCCGGAGAAGGTGGCTAGACCCCTGCCGCTAGTTGCTGGCCGTTGGACTTTGTTGCTGGTAGACAGACTTTGCTACAATCCCCGATCGTCGATTGCCGATCGTCGACTGCCAAACTTCCCCGTTGGTCGTCGGTTGCCGTTCATTGTTGCCGATGAGAAGTATTCTCTCGTTGAGTCCAAAATATTTTTCCGCAATCCGTGAAATTGGAAAGGAATCTACTTGGAATAGGAACCCATTCGAGTATTTCTTGCCATGTAACCAGACGAAGCCGTAGCTAATAAGCCAACTAAGCAACAGATTAGAAGCTAATAGTCACCGCCCAACTTTACATGATGAATTTTGCTACCGAGCACCGCCAGAGCACTTACGAAGCAAGTCCAGGAGTGAGATCTTATGTTTTCCACGTAGAGTTTTATGTCGTGTTGTAATCGCAATTGTAAGAATCAAAATATTTCTAATTATACATATACATCTAATGAGCATCTTGAGGATGCTCGTCAATAGTGTTTTCTACATAAAGATTACTTTTCTTTAACCACAGACTTTTGTCTTCCATGACTTCCTTTCCTTCGCTCACAAGAAATTGGAAATCGTAAGAGAAAGAGGGGGGCCTGAACAGATTCGGTTAGCACATTAGAATTATTGGGAGCCGATTCATTTTCTCGGACCGAGATCCCCTCGTTGGACCGGTTAATATCTTAGTCGTCAAGCTTGTGGGTGAAGGAGGAGATGCGCCACTGGGCGCCTCCCACTGCCTACGGCGTCCGGCCGCCACCGGCTCGAAGGGACTACACCGCTCCGCCGCCACCGAGGTATGGGCAGGTAGAGAATTTTGGGGGCATGTTGACGGCATTCGCTGTGGGTGCGGCAGCGGGGGTGCTCACTTGGCTCGAGCTGGCCAATGTGGTTGACTACTTGGTGGACAAGATCACCGACGTGGCCAAGAAGCTCAAGGAGCTTCTCGCCTCCGATGACGATGCCGAAGCCGCCGAAGATGAAGGCGCCGAAGATGCCTCCAATGACGATGCCGAAGACGCCGGAGATGCCTACGACCTCGCCTTCGTGGAGCTTCTCGCCTCTGATGACGACTCCGAAGCTGCCGAAGACAGAGACGCCAAAGATGCCGAAGACGCCTCCGAAGACGCTGAAGACGAAGACACCGGAGATGCCTACGACCTCGCCTTCGTGGAGGTTCTCGCCTCTGATGACGACTCCGAAGCTGCCGAAGACAGAGACACCGAAGATGCCGAAGACGCCTCCGAAGACGAAGACGATCCCGCCTCCGAAATAATCGATCTCACCTACCCAGACGGCGGCGGCGGCGGCGACGACAACAATTAGTCGCTCCCTATCGTCCCCTGGTTGGTTTGTGTTCCAATAAGTTCAAAAAGAAAAAGCCATACAGCGGAGGGCATTTTCGTCCAAGGGATTGATTTGAGTTTTTCTTGGCTTGTTATAAAGCAACTAGGGGCTCTATGATGCATTATATGTTGTCTGTATCGTGTCTATAAGTTCGTGTGATGTGTCGTTAAGACTATCAGATTTGAGACTAACATTGATTTCTGTGTGTTGTGAGCTCTATTCATACGCCCTTCAGTACTGGCTTTTAGTCTGTTCACTTGAGAAGTGCTTAGGCATATGCTTGAGTTACATTCCCGCAGAGCATCACTGATTAGTGGCTAAACCAAAGTCGAGACGGATAGCTCAAACTTTCTCAGTCTTTGCCCAGTGAAAATCGGCCGACGCAAGTGGCCTTCAGAAGGATCTGTGGAAAAAAGGCTTGAAGGTTCTATCATCCATGTTGAATCGGTCCGTGTCTCTCATAGTGGCACGCTTGATAATCATCGATTGTGAAGTATACGATGTACAGTGCAAAACCGGGCATATCCGAAACGACATCGAGTGACTATCCTCAACAAAAACTATCTCATTGTCGAGGCTCTTGATCTCGACCCACCTTGGCTCTCCTCCTCCTCCTTCGCTTGTAGACTTGATCACCCTCGCTAGGTACAAGTACTGCTCGAAGACTTGATCACCCTCGTTAGGTACAAGTACAGCCGCTCGGCATGTCCTTGCTTCATCTGGACTGCCGAATCATTAGCAATTTCCCTTTGCATGATTCGACAATGCACGCCTTATATATGCATCCTCCGAGCATTGCAGGACTAGGAGTTCCACTTCATCCTTTCCGACGTAGGAATCGTTGCTTAGATCGAAGCTTATGATGATGCCGTTGAGGATAGTGATTTCCATGTCCATGCAACTCGAGGATTCGTCCCCCAGACATGAAATTCCCTCCATAAATGTCATAATATGTATATTGATTCAGGGAAGAAAATTTCGACGATTGAAAGATGAGATGGACTTATAATCGATTTTGGAAAGTAAGCATACTTACTGGAAAATCGACAATTTATCTCGATGCAAAAATGAACATCATATCCTTAGTACATCCTAATTTCTTGCGATAGGCCTTGCATCGTCCATCGATGCCATAGAATCCCATGCACGGATTTGGTCTTGGAGCTTTTAAGTCTGTATGTACCATCAGGCCGATGAATTTGAAACTTGAATGAAATGCCAAATAGAGCACAAGAAAACTCAGGACAGTATATACAACTCCACCATAGGATGGAGACACTAGAGATATAAAACTGCTTTGCCTCTACAATTTGCACCTGTGATAATGATAACCTTACAATATCAATCCCTCAAGACCTGGGATAGTCCCAAGAACAAAATTCCCTACTCTTATTCCACATTGAACCTATGAGCACTTCTTAGCATCAACAAACTAGCTACCTGGCGCTCTAAAACAATGAGTTAAGAACAGCTTTATCGACGGACTCTATGTTTCTTTTTGGCTTTCCGCAGCCTTGTCTCAACCTTCGTAAAAAGTGGAGTTTCACATAGCTTCATGTTCCATTCTCAGTCTTTGACGGGGGAGGTACAGAAGTTACGGTTTGTTCTACTGCAGTAACATAATCAAATCCTGTTTAAATTGAGAGATAGACAGAGACAGAGACAGAGACAGACCGACACTCAGAGACTTACGTTGAGGTTCGGGCTTGCTTTCTTCCAAAGACATTGTCTGGCTCTGCTGTGGGGCAGCAGATGCTTTCAATTGCTCTTCCGTAATCTTCAAGTACTCTTCACTTGAGTATGCTCCGGTGGGGGGAGGAGTGCCATCTGCAATTAGCGCGAATTATACTGCAATTGTCATATAATTTTCAGTGGAGTCAATTTGGATAAACATTATGACTAAAGAACCTGAATCTGCGGGACAAAGCAAAATGCATCACATCCAAGAGGGGTCTAAGACCAAACCTACCAACAAGGTGCCGCAAATGGAAACTCTAAGACCACTTCATTGCAAGTTAAAAAATCATTGCAGTCACATTTTTTTGATGTTAGATCTGAATGTCAATTGAGATTCAGGCTACTTACTATTGCTGAAATCAAGTTCTGCTAACTTGATCGGTCTTGTCCAAAGTCTGTTGAAGTCCATACACATCGCATTACTAATATCCCAATAGGCAAAAAATTCTGATCGTACAGTCCATAGAGCAGCTTTATTCAGTCTCATGCTTCACAAATGATCACGTCACTACTAATATCCCTTTCCAATCATTTTTCGTGTACTTGCTTGATTCAAGGACTTCTACCGTCATCAAATATGTTGAATACACACTCTTAAAAATTGAACCAACAGTCATCCAAATATTGAAATACTGATAATCCAATATATGCGAGCCTGATGCTGTTCTGGCTAAATTTTTCCGCCAAGCCTCTCAACATAGAAGTCTAGTTGAACAATGCCTTGAAGATGGTTATAAAGCGTCAAAACTGCTTTGAAATGTGAAATTTAATTACTATTAAATGGCTCCAAATAATACGACCTAAATGCTAAAGACTCCTTTTTTTGTTAGATCTCCCTTATACATATTTTTATCCTCACATTACCCTAACTTGACATCAAAAGCATTTCTTGAAACCCCATAATTGAGCAAGTAACAAATAAAAAAAAATCAGGAAACACCACATGGGTTCTTTGAGACACAGTTCGCTCTTATAATCATAAATATGAGATGAAGACTTCAGATGGTGGAAATACTTATGACTCACTAGGGTCAACCACAGTCTCCTGCTCCTTCCCACGATCAACTGTAGGAGGAGATGAAGCGCTTGTCCTGCTTGAAGTAGACATGTTTTGTTCTGAAATTTCGTCAAGACCAATTTCCTTTTCGAGTGTGCTCTTGAACTCCCTTGAGACTTCCTACAAATGGGAAACATTAAAGTGTTCACCATCGTTACTTTGAAAATAATTGTTAACTTAAGAATTTGATAGTTTGCCAACCTGAAGCTCCCTAATGGTGGGTTGAAATGCTCGCAAAGTCTTCCCTAAATTTCGTGCTACCTGCAGTTAATCTCTTTCAAATGTGCTACAATGTCACCTCAGCTCTCACAATAGCATAAATTACCAAAACTGAGCATAAAAAATAACCTGTAGGAAAAGGTTGAATAAATATGATTGCACAAGTTAAAAGATAATGCAATTTTTTCACTAGGCCTACAGCACCATGGCACCAAAAGGCACTTTCTTTATGTAGGCATTGAAAATTGTGGTGTCATACCCATTGGCTTCTCTAACACCTAACATATATAGTTCTAAAAGAAAAACAGGTTAGCATAGAAAAAGGAAAAGCAATTTTTAATTCATAAACACTAACTTTTCTCCTAATATGTCTCACCGGTGTTTTGAAAATCTAACATTTCCTCATAAAGTATGCTTAACAAGTACTTCTGGGGCACTCATTCTATGACCTAATAAAAAATAACGGACCATTACGGGTGGAGGGATTTAACCAAGATATCAAATTAAATCACTTATGATACATCCATGACACAGGACAGGATTAATGTGATTTTACCCTATGGAATACTGAGAGCGTTATTAGATGCTTCACAGTACAGAAGAAGTTTCTTAGACTAAGAATATGGAAACCGCCACGATGTTCAATTGGATGCTGCCCCTTTACTTGATAGTTTGAACATGAAATTAGGGCAATAAGACCATATCAACTAGAAGCTGGACTTTCAGCATTGCCCGCACATTTAGAAGATCTACTATTTTCATCTGGTGTTCATGAATGCATCACTGATTCTACTGCAACTTCCTCCAAAGTTGCCCAGTTTCCCTAAACACACTGCATCACACTGCAGCATAACTTTGCTCCTCACATTTTTTATTTCTTAAGTACACAAATTCTTAAGTTGACTGCTATGTACCAGAAAAAAAAAAAAAGCCTTGCTTGCAGAATTACATCACCCGAAGACCTCCCTCTCCAGATACAATATCAGGAAAATAGATTCTTGCGAGACAATCATGTCCAAGCACGTGAAGTTCATCAAGGCAATTCTAAGCCTTGCTTTTGCTTTTTTTTTTTTTTTTTTACTGATTCTACTATAACTTCCTCCAAAGTTGCCCATTTTCCCTAATCACACGGTATCATACTGCAGCATAACTTTGCTTATATTTTTTAGTTCTTAAGTACACAAATTCTTAAGGCGACTGCTATGTACCAGAAAGAAAAGCCTTGCTTGCAGAATCACATCACCTGAAGATCTCCCTCTCCAAATACAATATCAGGCAAATAGATTTTTGCGAGATAATGATGTCCCAAGCATGTGAAATTCATCAAGGCAATTCTAAGCCTTGTTTATCAAGGAGAAACGAACGGGGCATTGCCATTATGCTAATGTATGTAAACTCATATTGAAACAGACAATAGTAGTCACCAGAGCTCAACATGGATAAACATAGCTCTAGGGCAACGGCTCTTGATCATGTAATGCTTTAGTGGTATTCAAGACTCGGTAAAATCTAATCGCATACCATTAAAAAACAAAAGCATACCAAAGTTCTTAATTATTTTCAGCATTCAAAAAGTTGGATTTCGTTTCTTCCTTTTGAACTTCCTAAGGACCTAGCAGGTCTGAGAAAAGTGCGACTCGATCATCAATCTGAATTGGTACAATTCGACAAAGTAATTCCAAGATCAGCGTACTCTGAAATTTGCCACCAAACCTATAAATTGTGCCGGCTAAAAACTCCTCAAGCTACAACAAAAAGAATTACCCAACCTAGAAAATTAAAAGAAAGTGAGACTACAACTAAAGTTGTACTTTTAGTTCAACTAACCTCAGCGAGACCTTTGGGACCAAAAACCAAAAGAGCCACAACCCCAATAACCAGAGCTTCAGGAGCTCCAACTCCGAACAGAGACGCGTACACAATCATGCCTTTACTCCTGCTCCTCCCACCTGCATCACCATTAATTCAAGAATTGTGAATGAACCCACCTCATATTAATTGGCCATAAACTCAAGAGCGAAACAGACAGAATAGAAGCACCCATTCTTAAAGATTTAGGCCTCAGCGAAATGCCAAGATGCTTCAACCCATTCCATGGCGAGAACTCCCGCAGATTCAGAGGCGAAAGCAGCATGGAGCCACCGAATTTGGAAGCTCTGGGGCACGAGACAACAGACGAAGAAGAACAAGAAGATGAGAAGGCACAAAGGGTTGGTCTCGAGCAACCAGACGACGAGCAGAAAAGGGCTGCTGCTGGAGCTGGCATTGGTGATGCCACCACGACCATGATTCTCTCTGCCTTGTCGAGATGACTACTATTTCACTTCTTGCTCCGAGCGGCGGACATGGGCGTTATCTGGTGATGACTGATTGGGATGGATACATTCAATTCGCTTGGCTATTATCCTCGCCGGGGAAGAATTGCGGCACCAGATTCATTGATCATCGTCGTTCCCTCTCATTCGCTCTTTGTTTGTAAGGCCCAAATATCGAATGTAGGCCGCTGCGGCAGAAGATTATGTCGGAGCACGATCATCCACGTTAGGCCCACTCAGCATACTCAGCTGGACCAAAGGTTGGGTTTGGAGGGTCTTGGGCTTCATCAATTTATATCTTTCCTTTCAAAATTTGAACACGAGGAAAAAAAAAATTAGGAAAAATGACATAAACAATCCCTGAACTTTAACTTAATATGTAATGTAGTCCTTGAACTTTTAATTTGTTACATGTGATCCCTGAATTTTAACCCTATGTATAATGCGGTCTCTGAACTTTTAATTTGTTAAATTTGATCCCTAAACTTTAACTTAATGTGCAATGTGGTCCCTGATCAGGGACCACATTGAACATTGGATCAAAGTTAATGGACAACTTGTCATTTTCCCTAGTGATTGTGCCCATGAAAAATAGTAGGCTTTTTCCTTTTTATTTTTTCACACACAATGCACAATGCATGTATATCACACCTTTTGCAATGGCTTGCTAGTTCAACCCTTATCTAGTTTGAAAATGTTCTTTTATTTTACTTCATAGATCATACATGAATGACAAACTTTGAGAATGAGATGTCCGTCGGTGAGAGGAGATTGGGTAATTTCTGTTTTAATTTTTGGCCAATCATAGAAGCTCGAATACAATGCAAAATGTGTGTTTGTTCTTCATGCTTTTAATACACATTCGAATGCACAAAAAGGAGGCACATGGTAGTCAAATCTTCGAGTTTCGAGCCGTTGCTTCAACACTTTTGCATCCATAAAAGGGACACTAAATCTTATAAATTCGACACTTGCTTATTGCACTTTTCACAGAACTCTGTTTCTCATTAAATAGCGCTAGGATCCTTCTAATGCCTAATCAATTCAAGGATTATCACAAGATGATCAACCTTTAAGCGGACCATTGTAAAGAGTACATCGTTGCTTCGAGCACACTTCATTTACTCAAAGGTACCTTATAGTTCTCACATATCACCTATTCAAGTTCGCCAAAACCACGCACAACCACCAGACCCTGTTGATTACAACCGAATTTGCCAATTTTTCTTTCAATCCCTTAAACTCACTCGTCCGAGCCTTGCAAAGGAGGTTGCAACATCACCAACTCTAAAATAGTTTTGAGCCTCGCACGGAGGTCATAGGAGGTCATGGGGTTTCATGTGAATTTTGCCGAACTCATCCTACTGACCCTACACGAGATGAAGAGTCTAGAACTTTCACCGTGCTAATTTCAAAAGACTTGAAAATGCTATTTAAGAGAAGAGGAAGGAAGAACACTTCAAACGATTGAGTATTGCAAACAATGCGCCACAGAAATCAGAAATGGGTGGAAAGCAATATATCATCCCGAATTTACTAATATCCGTCTCGTTAATTTTCCCAAAGAGGTGATGTTGTTATTATAATGAACACGAGAATGCAAGTCTGAACATTCTCTCGAATCTTAATTACAAGCTAGAGTTTGAAAGAGTTTTTAAAAGAAAGTAATAAACAGAAAAGATCCATAAAAGTGCCTAAACAACAGCTAAGAACATTCCCAAGTGGAGCCACTGGAGTAGGAACCGGAATGCAGAATCCTAGACCTTGCTGATATTGCCAGCGCAAGAGTGACTTGGGTGCTGCTCCCAATATCGAAGCAGAGTTGAACGGAGAAGTCATGTTTTTTTTTAAGGATCAACTGGGTTTTGTTGGGCATCTCTTGCTAATTTTTGTTGTTGACCCATGTTTAGTAGATTCATTAATATTGTTGGATTAAGAGCGATATTTTTTAATAATCCAGGCAGGGCAGCAGCAGGATTGACACTTGAAACTCTAGACAAATTGTTCCCACTGATTGCCGCACTGGTCCTAATGGAAAATCCACCATCATCTGTTCTCTTCAAATCATTTGCCTTTTCCAGCGGATTGTTTACATTGTTTGCTTAATATCCAGCCACCAGTTTTCACATCCTTTGTAACGCCAGAATTTTCGAATCTATTTCTTGGCCTTTTTGTTTTTGTTGCAAGACCATCAAGAGTAGGATCCTGAAAAAAGCATTTGTAAACAAATAAAAATTGATACATTTAATGTAAATGAGATTTTAATCTTGGAAGAGAATCTAACTAGATGATGTGGAAAATATAGGCCAGAAATCTAGCCGGTTTGAGTAATTTCTTGTGTTTGTCGTTCTCTCTCATTCTTTGTGCATGTAGGCCGAGGTTCACACCGGTCAACATCTTTGGTGTCACGTAGTGATTTCTAATTATCGATTGTTGCTTATGTGTTAAAGAGAGAGTTATTAGATTTTTCATAGTACAACACAAGGATTTAATGTTGATTTCTTTATATCTTCCTGGGAAACTGTGGGTCCTTCGGTTGTGCTGGCCATTAAGGATTTCTTTCGGTCAGGATCGCTTCTAAAGGAGATCAATACTACGATTCTCACTCTTGTGCCGAAGATTCCTAATGCCTCGTCTATGAATGATTTTAGGCCTATTGCTTGTTGCAACACAGTCTATAAATGTATTACCAAGATCTTGGCTAATAGGCTAGCCTCTGTTCTGCCGTCCATTATTAGCAACTCCCAAAATGCTTTTGTTAAGGGACGGAGGATAGGAGACAATATTCTTCTTGCTCAGGAGCTCTTTGCGGGGTTTCATCATGAGCCTTATCGGCCAAAGTGTGCAATTAAGGTTGATTTTCAGAAGGCCTATGACACAGTAGATTGGGCTTTCTTGGAAACGGTTTTGCAAACCTTTGGTTTCCCTCAGTTGTTTGTTAAACTTATCATGGAGTGTGTTATCTCTCCAAAATTCTCCATTGCTATTAACGGGGAGTTACATGGATTCTTTGCAAGTGATAGAGGTATACGTCACGGGGATCCTATGTCTCCCTACCTTTTTACACTAGTGATGGAAGTACTCTCTGGGATTCTCGACACTCAGGCGCGGCGTCCGGGTTTCAAATATTTTTGGAGGTGTAAGCCCATGGGTTTAACCCATTTGTTCTTTGCTGATGATGTCCTATTATTTATTGAGGGGAATATAAACTCTTCTACCTTGTTGAAGGAAGGCCTGGACCTATTTTCTAAGTGGTCTGGATTGAAGCCTAATGTCAACAAAAGTGACATATTTTTCTCTGGTGGGACACCGGAAATTCGAGGACAGATCCGGAATGTGTTTGGCTTCAATGAAGGTATGATTCCCTTTAGATACCTTGGGGTTCCTATTATCTCGACCGGCTTGAGTAAGGCGGATTGTATTTCATTAGTGAACTCCATTACTGCACGTGCTCGTTCTTGGTCCCAAAGATTTTTATCCTTTGCTGGCCGATTACAACTCATTAAGTCAGTCCTTCATGCTATTCAAGTATTCTGGGCAAGTGTATTCACGCTCCCACTGTCCATTCTGTCTAGAATTGAATTGATCCTTAGACAATTCCTCTGGAAGGGTCCGGACCTTAGCGTTGGTGGGGCTAAAGTCCCCTGGTCTGATGTATGTCTCCCTAAAGAGGAAGGTGGCTTGGGTATTCGTAGACTCCTTGATTGTAATCATTCAGCAATGCTCAAACATATATGGACTCTTTTCACAGATAAAGAATCTTTATGGTGTAAGTGGATTCACTCCACCTTTCTGAAGAACAAGAATTTTTGGATAGCGCCCAAGCCGACTTGTTGTTCTTGGGCTTGGAAAAAAATTCTCGACATCCGCCGGGATTTTCAAATGTTCTTCAAATGGCAAATTGGTGATGGTGCAACCACATCATTCTCTTTTCCAATAGGGACATTTATTGCTCCGGTATCCCGAGGGAGGCCTCTGTTCGGGAGTTCTTTTTCGATTCCTAGCATAGCTCGTATATGCTTCAAACCTTCAACTCCTGGCCGGATGCTATCCCTGATCTGGATGTACAGAGACCTGATCGATTACTGTGGAAGGGCCACTCGTCGGGTATCTTCTCTGTGGCCTCGGCATGGGAGCTGATCAGAATGAGCAGACCTATTATCCCTTGGTGTTCCTTCGTTTGGGACCAGAGCATTGCGCCGAGGTATGGCTTTTTGTTGTGGCTTATGTCACTGAATAGGCTCCCAACACATGTCGTTTTGCTTAATTATCCCAGAATATCAGAAGGTGTTTGTGCCTTTTGTAAATGTAGACCCGATTCTGTTGATCATCTGTTTTTTGGGTGTCCTATCACGGGTACCCTTGCACTACTCTGGGCGGATAAATGTAATCTTTCTTGGAGAAACCAGTCATGGCAAGATAATCTCCAATGGGCCGTCCGTTTCATATGCGGCCACAATTTCCACCAGCGAATTGCTCGCTTCTCATTTGGAGCATTATGCCATATTATCTGGACGACACGGAACAATATCCTCTTCAGAAATCAACCCCTCTTTGTGCCAGCCCTACGGCAACATCTTGCTAAGCTCATAAGGGATATAGGTCTGTCATTCAAACCTGTTGAAGATAATCCTCGCAACAGAAGGATCCAAGTCAATTGGGGCATCTCGCCTACCATCTTTGATTAATCCTCCTCGGTTGTTGTTGGCTCTCTTTTGTAGTCGGTTGGTCGTTTTTCGGCCCTGCTGTATTTTGCATTTGATGCTTTTGAGCTCACTATCCGTTACACCTTTGCACCTGTTAGGACATCTTGGGTGTTGTTTCAGGTACGAGGTTTTTGTGTTTCGGTTACATCATGTGTAGGTTACGCTTTGAAAAGTCAATATACATCTTACCTTACCAAAAAAAAAAAAAAAAAACACAAGTTTCTTTTAGACTAAGAGTATGAAACCATCACGATGTTCGGTTGGATGCTGCCCTTTCACATGATCGATTGAATATGAAATGGGGGTAACATGACTATCATCAACTAGAAAAACTTTCAGAATTGCCCACACATTTTGAAGATTTCATTATTGAATTACAAATTCTACTATAACTTCCGCCAAAGTTACCCAATTTGG